TACAAAAAAAATACAACAAAAAAAATTATTCTTAAATCTTTTTTAAAATTTATTTACTTCTCTAGTTATTCACTACAAAATTTTCTAATCACTACTAATTGCCATAAATTTTACAATTTTTAAGTAAAAAATTTAATCAAAACAACTAAAATTAAATGGATAAATTAATTACTAAAAATGATATTTATCATTTGTGAATTTAAAAATTGTTGGGTGATAAGAATATAAAAAAAAAAAAAAATTTGTCGGATGCTAAAAAAGCTTACACATCTAAGTGAATCTTAACCCGAATTAAAAAAATAATTTGCGGCGAATATATGGGAAACATCACTAGCATTAATTCAGCAAAAGAAAAAAAAAGAAAGTCTTTTGATAATTTACTTTTAGGATAATGAAATAATCTTAACATGAAACAGACTACTTTTAGGACTCAAAAACCCAAGTCAAAAAGTCAAGCAGAGAACCATTCCCCACACCACCCCACAAAACGCGCCTCAAGCCTTGTGTTTTACGTAGATACCACTTCTGTGCCATGGTCCATACTGGATTTAAGACTTCTGTTTTTTTCCTCCTCTGTACCACAGACTTTACAATCACAAGGGAAAAAGTGCTGATAAGTCTAGCCTGCACCAACTTACAAAATACATATAGTATTTTTCCTTTTTTTTTTTTCTAACAATAGAGAGTTAGTTTGAATCTTTTGACGTAACTTAAGTTAAAATTTTAAGTTATTAAATCTTAATTTAATTAAATTTTTGTTAGCACAACAGGTATAGTTATGGGAGTTGACCCCCTTTGACATTAGGTTTTATTTTATTTAATCACTCATGTTCTATGGTTTAATGACGCGAAAAAAGGGGAAAAAAAGGTGCATGTTAATTCACAAAACAAGAAAAGTGTTTAAATTGTTGTACTATAGGATTCTAACAAAGCCTGCTGCTCTACCAAAAAAAAAAAAAAAAAAAAAGCGTGCTGGAAGTAATGGTTTTGTTTTTCACGAGGCATAAGATACCTCCAAAACTGAGGGCCGTACCTTCGTCTTTCTCCTCTCCTTGGACT